ATATCTTCTAGACTCTAGGAAAAATATGTATACATTCGTATACAAACCTACACGCATGTATTGCTTCTTCGTGGAAACATCAAATAATGTTTTGCTTCAGCGTATAAAACGCATACTAGAACACGTGTACATATAGTTTAAAGAAGGTCTGCGTGTTGTGTTGTTTTCTATAGCCACTAATGGGAAAGAAATCTTGCAAATATTTATCACAAAGTAATCATTTTCGAGTATTAAATCATTCGCATGCATTACAAAGCTAACAAGCATTTTTTCGACTGCAGTGTTTTTAAATTCTGCATTTTTGAGCTCAGAAATTTGATAATAAAACGACATTTTCAATGGTTATACTGCCTCGGTAATACGAACGTTTGATGAAGATAGTCGCCTAGGAAATATTTGCATCTCCAGCTTTGATTAGGGTTGGGGTCGACATGGGTTTCTCAAATAACCTCATACTCGTAAAATATGACAAAATACGTTTGACGTCTCTGTCAGTAAGGACACGGTGCTGTATTGACATGGTTTCACTGAATTTTAATAAGCTTGGTTTGTTTAGAAAGCAGTCTCCACGCAACAGTTATGTACGGAGACGTGTGTTCTCTATATCACTTAAGTACCGTTAGAACAAGTAGTTATAGTTTGGTTGTTAATAAAGAACATTTCGCTCAGTAATAGCCTTCAATCGAAAGTGTTTTAATTTCTCTGTATCATAACCAATTCAATGGTTAATCAAAACTACCACTAGTTGTCTTTGTAATCAAACTACAAAAGCCATTAATTTTAAAGATGCATACAGATTGCGTGTATATATATTTTTGGCTAGATATTGGCTGAAAACATAAGGGAATTCCGTGCTTTGATAATTGCACTTCGTGTTTTCCCTCTACTGCCTTTGTTTTTTCCTATTGTCCCTTCTGAGGAAGATATGTTTCCTAACCTTGTTACACGTCTGATGATTCACACATCATCAATGTAGGGTTACATGATATTTCCTATCTTCGGATCAAGTTCATGTTTATACATGGATCAAGGTCACGTTTATCCTTCATTTTCGATCGTAATATCCGACACACTGAGATTGCTTTTACATCGACTGAAAGCATTTTGTTACTCAACATGGCTATGAAAACGTAATACATTGACTGAAAATGTAAATGATTCCGTGATTGTGCTGATGTTCAACATATCCTTGAAAGCTATTACGGAAGTGACGATTGAACATTTTCGGAAACAGTCATGTCATTTAAAGTTAGATATGTTGATGAAGGTTGCCATTGTAATAATGTTCTGTACTTGCTGTAAAATATTTGCTTCTAGCTCGGTAATTATTTACCCTGAAGGGTTTCACGATTAAACGCAAAGTCTAGATTATGCTCCCGCAATAACACACTGCAATTAGTACTACAACATGTGGTTACCCCACTGCCAGTATACTCTGAAGGAAGTAATACCACATTGATATCTAAAGCTAAGAGTATTCACGGTTATAAAAGTACTACAACATGTGGTTACACCACTGTCAGTATACTCTGACAGACGTAATACTATATTGATCTCTAAAGCTAAGAGTATTCACGGTTACAAAAGTACTACAACATGTGGTTACACCACTGTCAGTATACTCTGACAGAAGTAATACTATATTGATCTCTAAAGCTAAGAGTATTCACGGTTATAAAAGTACTACAACATGTGGTTACCCCACTGTCAGTATACTCTGACAGACGTAATACTATATTGATCTCTAAAGCTAAGAGTATTCACGGTTATAAAAGTACTACAACATGTGGTTACCCCACTGTCAGTATACTCTGACAGACGTAATACTATATTGATCTCTAAAGCTAAGAGTATTCACGGTTATAAAAGTACTACAACATGTGGTTACCCCACTGTCAGTATACTCTGACAGAAGTAATACTATATTGATCTATAAAGCTAAGAGTATTCACGGTTATAAAAGTACTACAACATGTGGTTACCCCACTGTCAGTATACTCTGACAGAAGTAATACTATATTGATAATTCTCTTTCTGTGGAACTCTTAGAAGCAGGAATAATTAACTCGCATGTGGACTCTGTCTTCGTTTAAATTCGTTAAACCGTTGTACTGTTTAAGTACGTCTGCCTGTGTAAGTAGCACAAATAACACACATGCAGCATGCATTTGAAATATTTAATAAAAGTCATGAAGTCAATGATAGAGTAATTCATCACTAGTGACTCTGACTGCAGGCTAATAACCTTTCACGGGAACTTTAAAAGGGGAAAAGTCACGGATACGGCGCTAACATCATTTCAGGTAACGAATATGCATTTGTACCGCCGTTCCTGCTTCTGAGTTCCACTGTATATGATATCTGGCATGGCAATTGTATAATGCACTATCTTTAGATCATTTCTGTAAATTCGTCCAACACTATAGCAAGAATGTTTCGCTCTTCAATCAACTTTTTCAATCAGTGATCTTGAATGAATTCAAAAAGTTTCATCATTTAATTCGTTAGTTTTAAATCGGTCTTAACATTCGAAAACCACAATTGTTCTTCAACAATGAAGACAAAATGAACATGGCTATATATGAATTAACTTTAATGAACAGATTCAAGCACAAATGGATTAATCTAAAACAGGACGTTATCGCCAGATTACAGATTCTGTTTTTTTTATGTTATACGTGTACATGTATATCCTTCATGGAAAAATAGTTTCATGAAGAGTTTAGTGTCACCTAAAAAAGTCAATTGCTTTATAAAACCATTTAAATTCTACACCTGCGACAAAGGAAAGCTAAACATCGATTCTGGAAATATGTCTGTTGAGTCACTGACATAACCTTTTGAATCATGTCAACATCTGTGAATGCGTATACTGATACATTTACTTTTTATCTGCTCAACCACTATCGTTTACTGTTAGAATGTCTTTATCTTAACTGTGTGATCAATTTGCTTGGGATTGAAACAAATGTTTCAATAGTCTGAAATGTCTGTTCCCTATTTTATGGCAAGAATGACTATTTTACGGGTAGACATGCTAGTCCCAATGTGTTTTTTTTTTAAACAAATTTGGTTAGAAGATATATTTGGTAGGTCTGCTAATCAGGTAGCCTACAAGTTAAAGACAGCTCATTGAATCATCTAGGTTCACGCACTGATAAACTTATTTGTCCTTACAATGAATTGTTGAAAGGTTACAATAGTGACGGTACAGTGAACCCTATCAACAGTTCTGACCAATCACAGGTGTACATATTTTAACAAAGTGGTCATCAGTTGGACAGCTATCTACTCATCATAGGATTCAAATCTTTATTGTTGTAACATCGAAACTTCGTACACTGATATCACGTCCTGTAATGGAGTAAGACTTAGACAGAAAATTCCACAAAATCATATAAACACATTACTATTTTATTGTAATACTAGCATTGTACACCATACCAGAAATTTTACATGGATTAGGTCCTGTACATCCATCTGGAATCTCTAGTTCTAATTTTGTATGGCGCTACTTAGAAGGCCTGATTTGTTTGTTGATATGTTATAGACAACACTAATAAAACCAATAAACAAAACCTAAAGACAAAACCCCTAGAACATAATAAATCGTTAATGTTTAATTAATTTAATTACAGAAATGTTCGGTGACCCAAATAACTTGAGACCTACGGCTGTAAAACCTGCCATTGTTTTGTCTTAATTCCCTTCGAAATTGTTTTCGTTTAAAAAACATAAGCCACGCCAATAACATTACAAAAAGCAAGTCGATGTATGTAATTGGCTCATTTAGATGGATTGTCTTTATTGACTAGACATGATTGTAACATTGCTGTTGGTTTAGACAGCGGTAAAACAAGGTGCATTGATTTTTATAGTTGATATGTTATAAGACATCACTAACAAAAACAATATACAAATCCTAAAGAGAGAAAGGCTTGTTCTGTGTGGAGCAGGTCAATGTTTTATACCCGAAAGCATAAGACATCGTTAATGATCATTTACGCTAACTAAGTAGATGTTCTGTGACCCAAATAGTTTGAGAGGCCTACGGCTGTAAAACCTGCCATTGATTTGGTCTTAATTCCCGTCCGTGTCTTTTAAGAACATAAGACCCGCCAATAGCATCACAAAAGCAGGTCGATTTATGTAATTGGCTGCTTTAAGGGATTTTTTCTTGATTGAGTAGGCAAAATAGGTAACGCTGATGTTGATTTAGACAGCGGTTAAACAAGGTGCATTAATTTTGCTGTCATGAAGGCTCCAGATCAAGTTTGCATTGACGAAACTGGTGGACATATATGTGACTGCTACAATGGACTTGATTGGAGGCACCTGTAGAAATAAAAAGAAAATACATAATCACAATCCAAGCTCTAATCTCATAAAACTAGGGCGAAATATGTACAAAAGAAATATTTACATGATTTAAAGTATAAGGATAATTGGAGCAGGTGTTCTGGACGAGTAAGCGTCTTCTGCTTCGACGAAACCCGCCATGTAAACATTAGTCAATCCAACTAAGTAATGTCACGTTCTCAAATACAGCATAGGAACCAACAGGCAAACTAAGGAGTACAAGAAGACAACAAAGTTACTAGCTCTGCATTAACAAAACGAAATTTGAAATTCAACCTCATAAGCATTACGTGGAACATATTTTTTGTTTTATCCGATAGGTAATCTTGCAACTCCGCGTCATGATATCGTTGTCATGACTGTTACCAATATTTAGAATTCAGTATCATTATTTTGAACGTTTAGCAGTTTGATAAAATCTCGAAATATTTAAGGTTCTTGTTTCAAAAGTTTACTTGCTTAACTATATGCAATTTATGTTTCAGCAATGTATCATGCGTAAAACAGCGTTGCTTCAAAGTTGCTATGGGCTTTGTTGTGAGCAGCCCGTGGTCATACAACTAATTAATTACATCAACGTCATCTAAGACAAAGACATATTATCCGTGGTGTAATGACAACTGGTTTCATTCTATCTTCAGGAAACACATTCCAGTCATATGGAGACTCAGACCAGTTTTATGTTCCTGACAATCGGAGTAGTTCCTATTCTGGTTTCGACGATAGCGTTTCTACCTAAATCAAGAATTCCTTGGCCGCTTCCGGCTGGTTACGGAAAGCATGGTGAAGCATGGAAGGATTCCTCAGGTTCTAGAAGAGCGGCCAATGGCGGGCAAGGTAGTACTGTCCTGCCATACTAACATCATTACTAATCCTCCGTTTTATGGGCGTAATAAACTTGTACTCTAAAGGCACTCCACCATAATGTCTGATTACCGAAAAGCTTTTTACCTCATCCGAGCCGCAGGCTCAAGTGAGTTATTGCTACTGGGTTCAATCCGTTGTGCGTCTTGTGTAACTGTCTACTGAAAACTAACACTTAACACCTATGTTAAGTCAGCTTACCTTGACTGGAGATTGTTTTTTGATATTTGGAAATAAATAAACAACACGATCAATCATTCAATATCAGTAGCACGAAATATACATTGAAATTATCACTTTTCTTACCTGTGACTTTCGGTGCCCTATCTATCTACATTTTACATCATATCTTTTCATTGTTATACAATATAATACATATTTAGAGATGTTGATCACCTATTTGACTCGTAACCTTTAACGACCTACATATTTACCTTTAAAACAATATTGTAATAAGATAATACAGTATTGATTAACGTTGATGACGTATTTGAATTATTTCCTGTAACGATCTACACATTGACCTTTGAACTAAATATGTGATAGGATGGAAAAATATTTATTGATATTGACGATCTATGATATGACTTTTTCCCCATATGACAAATCCTCGTAGCTGAATGATGTTTTGATTTGTTAGACATTTGCAAATATTAACCAACAGCGACCTTCACAAAACCCCTTCAGTTTACAATCTGCAGAACATGTACAACACGATTAAATGCAGGTTATGGTTCTAGGTGGACAGTATTTTGTTTATGTAGCGTTATACTGTCTATTTGAGATCATGCAATTTTAATTTGTTTTCACTTAGGTATGACGGGTTTTCGAGTTTCCGTATATATACCCTGTGTTAATCTCCAATACGGTTGCATGACCTCTTTGTTTCGATTCGGATGAGAAAGTTCATAGGTGGAAAGAAAATTTTTTTAACGTTCTCTCTTTCTCTCTATCTAACCGTCGTATAAAGAATATCCTTGCATGCTATTAGGCTGACAGTATGTACCAAACCTTTTGAATGGGAAGTTTTTATAGTAATAGAATGTATAGGTTGTTACGTAGCTTATCATATTTTGTCGTTGTTATCATTTTAATCTCATCTATTTAAATGCGACGTGGATTCATATTTCTTTTGACATTATATGATTTCATCTACAGGTGCAAACAAGTCAATTTGTGGTCTTGGAACTTTCAAAGCAGTGGCTTGCTCCAGTGTCTACATATGGTCCGTCATCTGGTTCGCTATTTACAACCTCCGTTCATTCACATACGATGGGAACATCAGATTGATGTTGATGAAGTATGGCGTGGCCCGAGAGAACGGTAAGCGACCAACATAACATTTAAAGCTTTGATAGGTAAATATCATAGTGCTCTTTTAAAGTTATTCTCTTTTGTGGAATAATCTGGTCTATATGATTTAAGGGAGACACAGGCAAAGTCAATTCTTCCTTAGGGGATAGTGAATATTATAATTGATTTATTGCTGGAATTTGGAAACGGAATCTTATAATTAGGAATCGGGAGAGGAAAAAGGTCGTGTGATTTATCCTTATCAACAAGATGTAGAAACACAATCTAGGTCAGTGGTGTGAGTTCCCTTGTTAATGACTTAGTTATATACGAACCAGAGTCAGGACTGTGATGATAAAACGTTGTTCATTGAGAAGAGAATAATTAAATAATCCATTTATAGACACCTCTCACGCCTATCTAATGAGAAATAAAAGTACAGTTCTTTCTTCCTGCTTAAAAAGACAGCATGTGCATTAGTTATGTGATTTGGTTTGAACGGTGAGGGGAGAGATAACATCCTCACAAAAACCTAAGTAAAATAGAGACGGTGTCTTCTGATGACTGGGTCATCCTGGTCGTCCAGGGGAAGGCATGAAAACTGGCGTACACGTGTTTACTGCTGAATGACGACATTAAGTACCAATCGTGTAGACTTTGGTATGTCTGGGCTAGGAAGGTTAAAGGTCAAGTATAAGGGAGTAAATTATTAGGAAGAGAAAACGCTGTAAGAAAAACTATTTTAGGATTTTTCCCTTAGATAAGTCATGCTTCATATGATCAGTTTTAAACTTTTATTTCTAATCTAAGACTATAATACAGAACCAACAAACATGTCCACATCAATGCGTTTTCCTTGGATAGGTGTAACTGCATGGTGATAAAAATCGCATGCCTCATTAGACATAGACAGCAATTTATCGGCAAGCGGAATATATCAGCATTTTCTCCATTTAAACGGGGAAGAAATATTTTTAACCACAAATCGACCACATGGAATCGACATACAACAATTCTCAGTAAGAAGTAAAACAGTCAGCATGTTTTCTTGGAAATTACCTGTAGTTCGTTGAAATCCAAATGATTTGTTTTGTAATATAAGGCAGTGGCAGTAGCTACTTATTTGAATACTGACAGGGTTCATAATATGAACACATCCTTGATCGATTCTGACATTTGTTTCGATCACTATGGATTTTCCTCAGTCGCCAACTAAGCTTCAAATTGTATGGCCTAAACAGTACCTACGAGTCCTAGAAGACGCAGCTGTATAATTTGATCATAGTTCAATTCATTGTTCTGCTCCACTTTATCTTTCTTTAGATTTGTATTAAAATGTGTTATCCACTTTTGTCTTTTGTACAATTTTTACATTTCCAAAACCATTCAGGCATGAAAGTCCCTACTAACAGAAGATATCCATGGCTTTTCTCAGCTTATTTGCATCTTTGCTTAAATTTCATTTTTTTGATCGAATTGACACCTGTTCCCTTGATTCCTATGAATAAGAATTCACTAAACCTTAATATGTTTCATCTTAATCTTCACGCCCTGGATGTCACAAATACAGAAGAAAAGTTTGCGGGCATTATCCGAGCTGAGTAGTCTCAGCGTCAAATGACATTACAGTCGTAGTGTTCAGAACATTTACCTGTTGTCAAATCGTTAAAGATAAAAATGGGCAAACCTCCGATCGCTTCCGAAGCGCCTGACCCTGCAAAACTACCGCTAGGGATTACCGTGGTATCCGATTTATGCACTTGTATAACAGACTGATAACGCAGCGAAGGCGAAAAATGCTTTGTTCGAGCGTTTTTTTTTTTTTTACCTTAACAGTCAGAAACAGGTAGAAAGCCTACCGATTGAAAGCAAGACGGCCTTACACGGAACCAATTTTTTTAAAAAAATCAAAATAATTAGACCTTAAGTCACCGTAACTGGGCTTTTCGACAATAGGGAAATAAGATAAGTCCCGATTTGGTCTATAACATGATGAAGGAAGATGCACAGTGTAGAGGGGAGCGTTTAAAAAAACGATACGTTTCAAAGTGGGACAGTTTGGGCGCATTTGACCTCTGGTTCCAACGTTCTTAAGATGCGTAATGCATATGCGTCGTTTTAGAAGAATAACCCGCTAGTACACGCTACTTGCATGAGGTACATTTGTCTGATACATCATAACGCACGGTTGTTGGATAGGCCATCAGAACCACCAGGTAAAGTCACCAGCTAAGCTGGTTTGGAGGAACGCGCCCAAGCCTAGAACAACGCTATAACGCTGCTTATCTCCAACCCGTTACTAAGGCTGTGATTGTTCAGGGCCTGTCGTGTCTTGGTGAACTATATAATATCAGTTTGCATGAAATAGCAACGCAAGTGAATACACCTTTTAATACAAATTAAAGTACAACCAAGTTATGAAGTAAACTACATGTTTCCGCTGTTTTACCCTGTAAGGACTTATCAGTGATGGTTAGGGACTAAATTCGTTCTTTATTTGTCTTACTGATTTTAGTGATAAAGGTTTAACAAATCGCTATTTCAAGCTTAACATTTAATATACCAGCGCCATTCAAATGTCTTCTTGAGCCATCATACTGAAATGCCGTATCGCCTGATATTCCATCTTTCTCCATTGATTGTAAAGTAAGTCGGCCAAATGAATCACTAATGCCAGCGGCAATATCTTTTTACCTTTATGACTTTGTCGTTCAAACAACATGACTATCAAAGTCGATGTTACAACGTTTAGAACCACTTTGTTTTCGTTACTCAACACTCTCACTATTGCATAGTGTTAAAACATATTGATTTAAATGTAGACCAATTCATTGAAGCAAACAAAATTAACGACACACTGTGTTTAATCTATATAGTAATGAATTGAGAGCATGCATCATCTCAATGAAAACTGTTTTTATAAATATTTATACATAAAATGTCACATTTTATAGTATCGAAGGCATAAAAACCATCTTGCAAAATATTTCATCAGTGTTTTATTCATTCCTATGCAATGTTCATGTCACAGCATATTGCTCAATGACGCTTCCATTCCAGATGTAAGATAAGTGCTTTGTCTATGTTTAAGTGCTAAGGTTAATCGGAATCTGTTTCATTATAACTCCTTTACTGTCTGACTAATGATGTGAAAAAAGTTTCCGATCGATGATACTACAGGAAACTAAGATAACGATTACGTTGACATACAGGAGTAAGGAACTTACCACTGTTTATGATTAACGTATGGGTTAGCAATGTATACCAAAAATGGGGTGATTGTGTTATCCGCGTGTCTATTTGGTTTGAACCCAGTACTCGCCATTAGGTATCTGATTTACTGTTGATTTTAAACTTATGGACTTTATGATATTATAAGTCAGTATTCTATGAATACTTTTCTTATGATATAATTTTTCAAGAACTGAATTAAATTTAGTGTTTTTGTTTGTTTACAGAAGTGTGTTATGCATACAATGTTATTATGCAAAATTAGTTTTTTCATTTACTTTTTTTGTAAAAAAGATGACGCCACCAAGAAGTGTTCTGTTTGATCATAAACCCTTTCAAATACGTTCGATAGAACGATAATTTACAAAAAAGCCAGTTGGTTGAATCATGGGGTTTTTTTAAAGTTAACGATGTCAAAACGTTGAGGAGGTACTGACTTTAAGCAATGAAATTTCAATATTGCATCTTTTTAGGCTATTCGGCTAAACTACGAATTAAACAATTAACTCCCTAATAGAAATAGTAATAGCTGTATTCAGACAGGTATCGTCATACTTCACTTTTGTACTAAGAACTAAGATTATGTTGTCATAGTGATATTTTCTTTTTCTAAATATTCGATAATGAGACATCTCATCCTACAGGATACGATTGGTGAGCACTCCTTCCGATTGTGCTCCTTATTGGATCAGTCAAATATGATTCCATAGTATTTGTGTCAACAGCAAATGCTTTTAGCAAATACTTGATCCAGTTTATATAAATGGCTTCGTCTGCCTTACGGTCATTCGTGCACTCTTCAAATACAAGTGCGACATTGCGTGGAATGTTATTCAAAATGGTCCTTTTGTTAACCAAAATCAAGTTAAAGTTAGCACACTCCTGAAAAGAATATCATTTAATGAGTCTTTATCAGGAAGTGAATTAATTTTATATACAACTGTGTTGTATTGAACATGCCCTTGGTCATGTTGTTACTCGAAAGATGATATAAATATTCTGGTTCAATTCATGATGTGATTAACTGAAATTTATTTAGCATGATCAATGTTTAGAATATATTAACGATACGTTTGGTTTTATTAACCACAAGAAAGCCTAACCAACCATGTTGTTTTACGTTACGGAAGAAAAAAAGAAACAAAATGTGATTATGGCTCTTCGACAATGCTTTATGTTTATAGGGATATAAAATTACAACAATGACACGCAAGCATGATATCATTAGTTTAAGTAATGTATAGAAAACGGCTACCAAACACTATACACACAAGTTCCAATTAAAGAGTAGTGACTCCCAGGCGTAAAAATCTTCTTTGGCCAGAGAAGAGAACCTATAACTTTTTTGTTTCGAGTAGTGTTCAATCTAATGCATTCTAATAGTCTACTGCTAATACCACACCCCCACAGACAGAAAAATGTCGTCTAGACCACAACATGATTAGGGTATGTTTAAAAAATCGACATACTCCCATGTATGTCGTTTATGTCTTATAGCAGAACGATTAATACTTAGGCATCAAAGTGCAGTATTGTCTAGTAAAGCATGAAAAGAAACATTTGATGGATAATAGATACGGATTGATCGGACGAAGTGTGCAAATGCATATAATCCGTATGGATCTCTTTATTTTGATAGCCATAGAGTAGACAGAGTCCAGTTTAAAAAGACTCTACATCAAACACATTATCTGTCATTATGTATTGATTTATTTCGGAAAATCTATCTTAAACAGTCAATTGGTAAAATCGGTGATCAGATAAGGCTATGAAGGGAGCGAAATAAACAAACGAAATAC